TGGCTACAGGCTAATCTTTCCATCACTATTTCACCAAAGCCAAAAGAAATGATAGCAATAGAACACAAACAAATAATAAAACATTTATCACTAACAACAACTATTGTCAACACTGATGGATCCTTAGCCAAGGGAAAGGGCAGTAGCATTGGATTTGTTATATATCTTCCAGTCACAAGGGAGATGAAATGTTGCTCCTTCAATCTTGGGGATACTATGGGTATTACAGATGCAGTTACATTCTGTATCCTCAAAGCAATTCGATATTTAAAGAAGATGATACCACAAGGCATATTTCATAAATTCAGTGACAGCCAAGCTAGTCTCATGAGGATCAAGAACAAAGAAAATCATCTTTCATAACAAATCAGATAAGAAGCAGAGCATTGTACAATACAACTCTCCTGGTGCCCTGTCCATGATAGAATAGTAGGCAATGAGCTTGCTGAAAATTTGGCTAAAGGAGCCAGCAAAAAGAAGGTGCTGAAAAGAAACCATTTTACTTCACATTCATTTCTAAAGCAAAGGGCTAAGGAGCTGCTTTTACAAGCTCAGATCCAAGATTGGACCTCAGAACTCTTCCATGAAGAAGAAGGAAGAAAAAGCTCTGGACTTGGCAAATTTTACAGGACACAGGCCCAAATGACAACACCAATATTTTCTACTCATCCACTAAATTTCCAAGGTCATAGTAAAGCAGTAGAATCTTCATATTTTCAGGTGAGGACTGGCATTGGAAATGTGAAGTCTTATTTACACAAAATTGGAAAGACAAAAGATAGTATCTGCAATTTCTGCAATAGGGGAAAACAAACCATGCAACACTTAATTATCCATTGTCAGACATTTGAAAAGGAAACAAAGGACAAATTCAAAAATATAGAGCCCCTTAATCTTCCAATAATTTTGAGAACAAAAAGAGGAAAAGAAGCATTACTTGAATATTTGAAAACTTCTAGGTGCATAATTTTGCACAAAGGGGATTGATTAGGACAAGAAATAGTGGAAATGAGGATGGAGAAATATTAAGGAGCTATGTAAGTATAAGTAGGATAGGTGGATTATTGTTATATAAATTGTCATAGCTAGCTAGCTTAATACAACATCAATTAAAAAAAAAAAAGAGTCTGTAAAGATCACATACCTGTGTCAAGCCTATTGGGTGTAGGGCACATGCCTGATACAAATAGCAATCAAACTCAAACTCGATTGCGCCTTCAAGATAAGGATGGGCCCTTTGGCCTTAAATAGCCCAGTCATAACTATTAGAATCACCTGGGTTCCAAATACAGCACTGTCAATGACTGTATTGCAATTGTTTTTGTTCTTTTATCTAAGCTATGAAAGTAGTTATATTAAGTATTTCTAATTATGTAAACATTACATTATATGATTATAGACTCCAAACTCCAACATGTACCAACACTGACAACTCTTCAAATTCTTATTAAAACTTAGCTTCATTTCCAGTCAACCCACTCTATGACTCTTATATGTATTTTATTAGAGTCGATGAGATCTTTTAGTGCTTAACAAGCGTTCGATTTCGTCATTGCATCAGCAGGGTTGGTGCTATGTTACGGCGTGTGGTGACTGAAATAGGATTTGCTGTCTGCTGAAGATATCCTAGTAATGACTAGGCGAATAAGTACGAGTCGATATAGATAGGTACGGTTAGGGGTGTTAAACTGATCGGGCGAGGCACAAAAGATTAGGACTGAAGAACGAGAGATCGAGAGGTCGAGACGAGTAGTATGATTATAGAGACTATGAGGATATAAGATTGAGAAGCTGAAGAACTACTTTAGAGTAACTCCAGCTTCCTTAAGTATAACTAATTACGTGCTAGATGTAAGTGAGGCTTTTGAAAGATTATGTCATGGTAAGCCCCTCCAACTCTAATTATCAGATTTTTCTCGGATATCTTCTCCTTGAACCTTCTCCTTAAACCTTTTACTTGAACTTTCTCCTTGAACCTTCTTCAAGGATGCCTGGCCATAACATGCTACCTTCAATCCATTTTATTTCTGCAATCTCGCGTTGTTTGTACAATTGCCTGAGAGACATAATGTCAATCATTAGTCTTTTTTCTCGGGTTGTGCCTAGTCTTATTAGACAGTCGAAGAGGGATCTTGAGTCGGTGCAAATAATCAGAGGGATTGGTCTATTGAGAATTTTACTGAGGGTAGTTTTAATAGCGGAGCTAGTATCAAATCCTAGCGCCATCCTGTAGAGTTCAGAGGCAAGAACACTACAGGTTATACGTTTGCATTTGACCGAGGACCAGTGAATGATATTAGCATCATTATTTTCGTCTGCTAGTACTATCACATAGCCAATTTGAGATGTCAGGTCTGCGTTGTTAGCAAAAGACGCATCGGTGAAAACAATTATCTTCAAAGTATTTATATCAAGTTTGACAAATTTTATTCCTCATTCAGAATTGTCAATTTGCCATTTTAATCTCTTATTGAAGAGTTTTGCATCTTCTTCCTTTGGATTAACAACCTGGGCAGCAAAAGATAGATCGAAAGAGGCTTCTGGTTGACATATACTAGCAATGTATGCGCCGTGCGCACTTTGAGCAATATATTGATCTTTCAGAGTTACACCTTTTCGTACTTTCCCCTTGGTATCTGACAGCTCAACTTTGAAAGTTTCGACGAGCTTCAGGTTTGAAGTTTGCCAAGCTTGTTTTAGAATTATTGAGCCTTTGTCTAGTGTTACCATTCCCCCATTAAATTTAAGAGGCAATGATGGCATGAGCTTTTCCCGATCCTTAGCTAAGAATTTGGCATTTTTGAGTGCTTGATATTTTTTGAATGCAAAACTGTTATTGGCTACGAACATTGTATCATCTGTTTGCAGGCCCACTTTTCCAAAACATGGTTCATTACTGTGGAGTAAGCAAGGATCATAGGTTGAAGGGGACATATCAAGTTTGTCCACATGATACCAATGATATGTGTTAAACCAATGGTTACCAGCTTCTGGTATCCCATAGAGAGACTTAAGCACTTGCCATATAGTACCGGGAGGTAACTTGATTTTAGCAGGGGGACAAACGTAAAATCTGCGATTTAGACTGGTGGTTGACTGAACATATGCCTGGGAAATATCACGTAGATACAAACTGACGTCATTCCTTTGCATAATAGCAGCGAGATTGAGGACGAGCATCTGGCTGGAACGTTGGATTGTAGGTGACTGGGTCAGAATTGTATATTTGCCATCATTTTTGTAGGCCTGAACAACTAATCGAGATTTTTCAAAGGCTTTTTCAGTTCCCAGATGTTTAATTTCATCCACAAATCTAGTGTTGAATATTCTGGTTTCAGGAAGGATATTATTGACATGAACGACTTTGAAAGTTCCTTTTTCTGATAGTCTGTTAATTTCTCTTCGCCTTGATTCTTCAAATGATGGTGTAGGGATTTATGTAATATCTGGAGGAAGGGTTAGTGAATCCAGAACCTTGCTTTTGAATATAAGGTCCGGATAATTGGATGAGATGTTTTGATCTGCTTCAGATAGCTTTGTTCTTATGCGAGATTTGATGGAGGATCGGAGTTGTCCACGAGGTTTGATAGAGGGTAGAGGTGTTGCAGGACGTGGCAAAATTGGAGAGGGAGATGGAGGAGCTTCTGGATTTTGTAAGGTCGCATCAGGTAAGTTAGCTTCTTCTGGAGCGTCGTCAATTAGGAATGGTTTGACGACTGTACTGCGGAAATCAGTAGGACCACTGGGGAGATGTACGGAGCAAGTTTCGCCGTTGATGCTAAGAAGTGGAAAGGGGCCAGTCCACCTGCCGTTCTTGTTAACGTTACCTTCTCGCCAGACAAGGACATCTGAGTTGAGTGGTAGGTCGTGAATCGCCACTGTTGATGGACCATTGCGAGAGCTTAGAGCTTCTTTTATTTGTCAGTTAGTGCGAAGCTTGTCAATTTCTTCCGAGGCTTTACGTATAGCCGTTGCTCGCTGTGTTACGGAAGGGGCCGGGGGATCTAGCTCGGTCATTTTTGGAAAGGTCCTGTACTCTAAAAGAGTAGGAACAAGACCATCTAGTCCAGCTGTAACATTGACTGCCTTGACTGCCATTTGAAGTAGCATGTTTTTGTTTTTGTTTCTGCCGGACATATGATGAGTTATTGTTTCATATGCCTGTTGCAAAACATGGTGGTAACGTTCGACTATTCTGATTGACCAATGGGCCTTGACTGGCACGGCTTTTGTCCTTATTGCCGTGGTGGCTGCACTTTGGACAAAGTTTTTACTGAGGAGATTCTTTCCGGCATCGGTAATCACATAGTCTGGAGGTCCTTGATATGTATTTATCCATGCGTAGCTGTAAGGATTCCTCTTCCGATCCTTTCTTTAGGATATAATTTTACCTTTCTTCATATGTTGCTATGACAACAGGACAGTTCTTGGCACATGGTATCATGTTGATATTATGTTAAGGTCTATGTTAGGATGAGCTAGTGAAAGGAGGGCAGGTATATATACAATGGTTTGGTCTGTAGGCATAGAGTTCTTTACGCTTAGTCTTCTGTCATAACCACCACCTTCGGATCACCTCTGGTCAACTATAGTCGCCTCTAGTTATCTTTAGCACCTCTAGTCACCTCTAGTTACCTCTAGTACCTTTAGTTATCATTAGTACCCTCTCGAACCTTTAGACCTTTTAAATACTTAGATTAACCATCTTTCAACCCTCAATTTCCTCCATATTATCTCTAGTATACCTTCAGTCATCTTTCGCCGTCCATTTAACATCTTCTAGCCCTTCGAATTCGCTCCAGCTCAAACGTCTAGACTCCAATCTGACAGTAGCATAGAGTATCCCATATGTGCTCGGAGGTCATGTTACAAAGCCATTGAGCAGCTTGATACCTGGTGATTTTGTCAACAATATGCAGGATTGGATTATTATTGATATACATGATATCAATAAGAATTGCATGGTTGAAGTTTATCTCATCACGAGGTTTGAATTTAAATCAGCCGGGAGATTTTCCAAACTTTTGACACTGTTTGCAGAAGCAAGTTAATTTTCGGATTTTTTCATAGTAAACATCATTGTGACCAGATCGCTCTAGCAGTTGTTGGAGGCGATGGGCAGCTGGATGCCGAAGGCAGCGATGGAGTCGGCGGAGCTCAGTATATGTAAGGAAGCAATTTTGGCCGAGTTTGTAAGTTGTTGAAGGTAGGCGTGTTTTCCAGAGGAGAAACAGGTGTCCAAATCGACGAGTCACAGGGAATCTACGAGTTGAGGAGACAAGTACGTTGTTGATATTATCCAAATAGACGCCATGAAGGTCCATGTCAGCAATGCTGAGTAGAAGGGGTCTGTCAGCATTAAGAAAGTGGAATTCAACCGAGCCAAAGGGAGCGTCAATAACCATGGAGCCAATTGAAGTTGTGTTCCCTATGCCAAATTGGATTTTCGCAGCTCCGGCAGTTGTAGTGTCAAGTTGAATGTTGGTGATCTTCTGAAAGGCTAAGAATTGGCTGTGTCCAACAGTGGATTTCTTGGCAGCACCGGTATCAATCATGATGCCGAAAAATTCACAATCACTGTAGCGGAATATGGGATTTCTGGTTTTGAAGTTGCTAGTAGAACTGGTTAAGGCGTAGAGGGAGGCTTCATTGTTGAGTTCCGTGAGGTATTTCTTTCCATTGATAGGCCCAAACCTAGTAAAATAAACTTCGTTGAAATCCTCGGAGTCAGGGAGGTTGAGGTCGGACATAAGTTGGCTTAAATGAATTGATTCGGGGATGGCTAATTCTGGCTGACCACATTTGGCAAAAAATTGGGTGTATCTTTTGTTATACTCATTCTTTTGGTTTTGAAGGTGCTGAAAGGCTTCTTCACGCTCAGCTTTTGAGTGTTTGTTGGACCAACAGCCTTCTTTGTTGCAGACAATGCATGATTTGGAGGAGCTTGGTGATCGGTGTCTGGAGGGATATTTGGATTTAGAAGGGTAGCAATTGCTGTTGTGGTATCTGGTGTTGCTGCAACCCCGTGAGTTTTCACGAGGCGTGATTCCTTGAGGAGCATTCCTGTGGAATTGATGGTCTGTATAGAAGACACCTGTTGAGGATTTAGGATGAATTTTGTCATAAAATGTTACGGCGTGCGCTAAGGATACTGGGGATCGCCGTCTGCCGAAGGTAAGGTATTAATAACTGTTAGGATTACAGTTGAAAACAAAGGATACTTAGATATGATTCGATTGGCGAGGTGCCAGGTAGTCTAAGGTTGTAGAACCACAGAATAGTCGAAAGACACAAAGTCAAGAAGTCGAGTTGCCGAGCAGGCAATCAAGAATGATAACTCAGGGTGAACAGAAGTACAAAGAATGTAACAAATAACGAAAGACTGAGAATATCGGACTGTGAGAATATACGATTATAACATTATGTAAATCTAGATTGCAAGATCAAAGATCAAAAGAATGAAAGATTGAGAAGCTGGAGAGCTACTATGTGGCAGCTCCAGCTTCCTTAAGTCTGACTCGAGATAGTACTTGAACTCAACTAAGACTATGAAAAATGCCGTCATGATGCCAGCCCCTCCATCTCTAACTGTCGGAGTTTTCTCGGAAACCTTCTCAGTAAACCTTTTCCCAAAACCTTTCTTAAAACCTTCTCATATCACCTTTTCCTCAGAACCTTCTCCTTGAAACCTCTTCAAGGATGCCTGGCCATAACATACAATGTGATAGATGATTGTAGACAATTGAGAAATCCGGAAAAAGTTAGGGGTGGGGTGAGGCATGCATGTTTGCAAGCAGATACATTTTTACATGCAGCAATCATTTTGAGTTGTATAAATTTATCTGTTTGAAACTCGGGGTCTAGACTGTGTTGTAGGGTTCGTAAAGATTGAGCGAACATCTCTATACAGGTGATGGTGTCATGCTGGGGATTTTGTTGAATTAAATTTTGTAGAGTGAGCGAGTTCCATTTGTTCAAGATGCGCTGATGGTACATGTCACCTTCAAAGTTTGTTTTCATCATTTGATATAGGCCCTCTGTTTCAGCCATTAACAAAATGGTAATTTGTTGGGAATAAGATAGAGGCATGTGATTATAGTGGGGTAGATGACATGAGAATTATAAACTAGGCAATAGCAAGTAAGGATTTGTTGAGGCACGTGTACACTCAGTATATCTCTGGGCAATAGCTGTCACCCTGAAACCTTCTGATAGATAGATACAAAAACACATTCTACTGATTGCCTTTACCTTCGGATTCGAATTCAAGAACCTGGTAGTTTTAAACAACACCCTCAAATGTAGGGGTAAACGGCTAAGATTTGAATAGTAGAAGTCGGCTGCTATTCCTTTGAGCATTGTTGAGAACGCTTTAGTAAAATACTCCTGCGTTATTCGCTTTCGGCCACAGAGCTCATAGAAGATTGAAACTTTGTAATCTAAACTATCATTGTTGGTATAAATGTCCTGACCTCACTTTACAATGTTAGTCATAGATTAGTGTTGTGATGGGCATGTTATACAGCTAGGATACTTGCATGTACATAACGTGATTAGATGTTCACGCTGTTTGTGTAGTTCCTGTATTGTTTGGGATATCTGCAGGAGGAAGCTCATGTGGTCAGGAGCCGACTAGCGGCCGCACATGAGTATAAGTAGCGAGTGCTCGGCACACGATTAGGATAGTACAATTAAAATACAGTGAGCCTCAGATACACCTTCAACCACAACCTGAACTCATCAATCTACATACTCGTCCAAGGTCAGCATGCATAGTGACACTAACCTAAGCTCATAACCACAATAATTAGTCATGGTTCATTATGAGTATTAGAATCTTTTTGTAGAATAGGAGAATAGACAAGATCCACCAACACAACTGCAGAAATGTGACATACAGTTTACGTTCTTTGCACCGTGTTTAAGTATCCCGACACTGATCAGTGAGCGCGCACAGATCAGGAAATAAGTAGAATTGGAAGGATATTGCTTCCCACCTTTAACTTCTATTTCAGCCGAAGAGGAGGAAGCATCTATCCGGAAGCTTGATAGCATATCTTATTGATCGATTATTGCCGACGGCTTTGATTCTTCTTTAGCAGAGTTAATAATATCAAATTGGAAGGATATTGTTTCCAACCTCTTAAGATATATCAACTCTTCAAAAGCGTAAATTCTAAAAATGACAGAACAAGATTGGAAGGCTTTAGAAGCCAAATGGGATGAAGGAATCAATCTCAGCACGGCAACTCCTCATGATATCAATTCCTACATAGAAACGAAGATTCATTTCTACGAAGAAGACAATACTACTAACTCAAATCTATGGGAACAGTACCAAGATGACTTCGCAACCTTCACAATAGCTGCTTTCAAAATCCCTAAACTGAAACTAATTCAACAGCTACGAGACTGCCTCTTTAGTAGAGGAGTTTTTGTAGATTGCAACACAAGCAGGCTCACTATTTCACAGGCACTTTACAATTGCGCAAAGGAAGAAGAACAGCATAAATGGTCTGACAGCAATGTCATCAATGCCGCTGAACAATTAGAAGAGCCTCTCAAATCAGTAAAGCTGAAACAACGTCTAGATGCAATCCAAGTAGATAATACAAACATAGAGAAATACAGCGACAATGGCAGCAAGTTCAAGACTGAAAAACCTTCCGACCTGCAAGTACCCCTACAACTGATTTTGCCCAATTCAAAAGTACCATCTTTACAAACCCCACAAAGAGTGCAGGCTCTCGGACCGACGTCACCAATACCTCCTCCTACTTACGTTGCGCAGATGTCGAACTTGATTAAGGTTTATTCTGGCAAGGCAAAATACGAAGGAACTGGGGATAGTATAGATCACAAATTGACGAATTTTCACCACCTCTGTGATCTCACTGGTGTTCCCAGAGAGGCATATCTAAGAGCACTCAGTAATGCTGTCAGGATTCGCAAAAGAGCACTACTTTGCAGCAAATCTGTCGTACTTAACTTTTGAGCAAGCAGTTGACCATCTTCGTAACTTCTTTGAAGGTCCTGGTTACAACCAAAGAAATCTAGGCAAATGGAACGGAACATCTTTAAAGTTGATTATGTTGCAAAATAAAGCTAAGTCAACATCCAAATGTCTGCAAATCTTGGTCCAAACACTGAGAGAGATCCAGCATGGCCTAACAGAAGATCTCTGTACCAACTCTTTTATGCACGACAAAATTATTACTGCGTGCAAAGGCGTTCCAGCTTGCAGATATGCCATTGCGAACCCGCCACCAAAAGTTGGTGAACTCTTGAATCAGCTACAGAACTCTATAATGGCCTATGAAGGAGAAGAGAAAAATGATCAATTCAATGTCAACCAAGATGCATTCTTCACAGACAGACAATATCATAAAACAGGTTAAGCACAAACCAGTAAAAATAACACGCTAAGCAAGACATGTTATATATGTGGCAAAGAAGAATGTCATTTATGGAAGCATACCAATGTTGAACGCGAAAGATATAAGGCAAAGTTTCGAACTTCACTTAAAGAAAAGCTAGGATCTCGATTTGTTGACAGGAATTGCTTCAAAAAAAGATATCATCAACATATAGTTGACTGTGAAGGTGATGATGAATCCTACGTAGATAGCGACGAATTGGAAGACGCCTTTAAAGCTTTGGAGCTTGAAACACAAGGTGGTAACAACAATGCTCGAGAAATAGACGAATCAGACGTCTTCTTGACTTCATTTGGGGAAATCAGTTGCACTGCTACTTGATCTATAATGCCAGAAATGGCAGCAGATTTATCAAACAGATCCTCCATTCACGCTCTCACTATTTCATGGATAAACGTGGCGGAAACTAGGATGGTGTCTCATGGGGAGTTCCATTCTAAAACACAACTCGGGGTTAGATCAAGTTCTCAAACAATTAGGACAGGCTCAGGAACATAGGGTAGTTTCATAGGGAATGCGTAGTAATACTGTTCGAGACAGAGCTTAGGGCTGTCCTATTATCTGATGTACATATATACCCAGCGTGAAGGAGTATTCTTCTTCACGCAATGTCTTCTGTTTATACTCATACCTATTGTTCACTTACTTATCTCTTCTCTAAAGAAGACCGCCGTTATTGTACCCTTCTCACCTACTACTTATTTTACCTTTACCTCTTATGTGAACCCTATACCTAACGCTGAATTTATACCTCCTACTCGTAGGAATCACCACCATACTCCATACCTGTAACCTACTTGTACCAAATTCATACCCTACGGAATACTAATAACACGGCTCCTTGAGACACTACCACTAAAAATATTGCGCCTAGCTCCTCTGAAGCTGTTCCCTTTGCCTATACAACATCTCCTCTTTGTTACACCTCCGAAACATTTATGGGTATCATGATTGACACAGGGGCTTCTAAGAGATCGACCGCGGGTCATGGCCAATATAATGCACTTCAAAAGCTTAATAATAATGTTTTAAATTTAAACAAACTTGATAAAGGACTAGTGAATGTTCAGTTTGGAATCGGGTCTACAACATCAATTGGATCGATAAAATTAGATTCACCAATTGGAAGAATTGAATTTCATGTTGTCAGGGCTGATACTCCTTTTCTACTGTGTCTTGCAGATATGGATAAGCTAAAAACTTATTTCAACAATCTGACAAACACTTTAGTGACACCTCATGGAATTGTGCCAGTCGTGCAAAGATTTGGTCATCCATTCATGCTGTGGGATAATTCACTCTCGATTTATATATCTGAATCTCTCAACCAATGCCCTTGCTATCTTACCGACATTGAGCTCCAACGGCTTCACTGTAGAGTTGGCCACCCTTCTATTGATAGGCTTCATCGTATATTAGAGCGCTCAGGACATGGAGATTCCAATCACCGCAAATCCCTAGAAGCAATCACACGGTTTTGCAAACACTGCCAAAAGTACGGTAAATCGCCCGGACAATTCAAGTTTACATTAAAAGAAGATGTTAAGTTTAATTACTGCATCTTTGCTGATGTAATGTATATTGACGGAAATCCTCTCCTACATGTCATTGATGAAGGCACAAGATTCCATGCTGGCAGGTGGTTAAAGAACATGTCTGCCAAGAGTACTTGGGATGCGCTATGTGATTGCTGGATTAATACCTACTTGGGACCACCAGATATAATCTCACATGACACTGGTAAAAATTTTGCTAGTAGGGAATTCCAGTAGTGTGCCATTAATGTTGGCTCTACTACAAAAAGTGTGCTGGTAGAGGCTCATAACTCCGTAGGCGTAGTCGAAAGATATCATGGCCCCCTTCGCTGTATCTATCAAATAATCACAGCAGAATTTCCTGGCATTAACAAAACTTTAGCCTTGCAAATGACTTTCAAAGCTATAAATGATTCCGTGGGACCTGATGGGCTGGTTCCTACCCTCTTGGTATTTGGTGCATATCCACGTATGGTTAAAGAAGATACTCCCTCGCCCTCAGTGACACAAAGAACGGAAGCTCTTCGTAAAGCCATGAAGGAACTAGAGCAAATCCGTGCCACACGACAAGTCAATGATGTACTGAATATGAGAAACGGTCCTTCCACTACGGCAATACATGCCTTGCCGCTCAACTCGCCGGTGGTGGTATGGCGAGAAGGTAGTGCAAATCCAGCGGGAAGCTGGACTGGCCCCTACAAACTTTTAGATGTCAACAGTGAGACCTGCACTCTTGAGCTACCTAGTGTACCTACTAAGTTTCGGAGCACAAGTGTCAAACCGTACTTAACTGAAACAACAAAGCTGGTTCCGGACAACAATGATTTCGGAATTACTGCAATGGAACAAGTAAAATCCTCTTCAGAAAATGACCCCCTTGCAGATGATTCACAACAGTCTAGAAGACCCAAACGTCAAGTTGGTAGAC